AGGCTCCGACTGGAGCTGTCTTAGAGCATCTTGGGCCGTCTTGGGGCCATCGAAGCCGTCTTGGATGGCATGCTGGGCCGTCTTGGATGCCATGTGAGGTTGCCCTCCATTCTTGGACGTCGTTTTGGAGCCAAGTCTGGGCCGTCTGGGCCGTCTTGAAAACCATGTTGGGCTGTATTGAGGTGTTCCTGGGGCCCCCGTGGGCCGCCTTAGGGACATCTGGTAAGCATATTGGGTTTCGCAACGCTGCATGACGCCCTCAAGGGCGAGATCTCTAATATAGGCCGCAACCCAATGCCAGACAACCGACCCTAGCATCTTAGGATCCTCCAGGAAGCCTCCTGGGGCGTCTTGCAGGCATCTTGGGCCGTCGTGTGTTCACGTTGGTTCTCTTGGAGTGCAGCCCGAAACGTCTGGGAGGCTAACTTCTTTCCAGGCCGAGGAAGGGACGGAGGGAGGGGGGCGAACCTGGGAGGGAAGGGGGGAAGGAGGGGAGGGAGGGAGGGGGGGGGAGGGCTGGAGGGGAGGAGGGAGGGAGGGGGAACGGGAGGGATGGGTTGATCGTGCAGGGTATGTAGATTTACGCATAATTCAGTACAACGTAAACCCGTGCATCATGAATGTAGGTGTATGGCACGCTACATTACGTATGTCCACATATTCAATGCGATCGTACTGTCCTGGCTAATGTAAGCTTCTAGTGTGTCTACGCGTGTACCATACATGCGAAGAAATGTATGTACAACACACGGGGCAATTATTCAAATGTCGGGAATGCATTACCAATGATCCAGTGCATTGCCAGATGGTACCCGAGGTTTGTGTTTACCCTTAAGCTTCAAGGGTCTATTGGTGTATGCAGGCGGGGTGCAACTAATATCAGAAGGCTGGGGGGAATGATGGGGTGGATCACAGAAGAGACACAGGAGGTCACCAAAACGGACGAGCGCGACAAAGAAGGGATGGCATGATGGGCGCTGTCGAAGGGTCGACCATGAAGTTGTGCTATCTGCCATTGCGCACCGCACCGCATCTTGTGTATAGTTAGGTCTGTATACATGTACGTGTATACATTTATGTATAGCCCTGATGGCGTACGCGTGTTGTGCGGCAAATGTGGAAGCCGTAGGTCTGAAGTACAATGTAGCGCATGTGTGCATGCGAGGTGTGATGTAGACATCACGTACAGTACAGACATAGTCATGCCGTATACATGTCGCCCCGACCCCACGCACGCACGTACACACACACACACACCAACGCGCACACACACACACACCACTAACACCAACAACCACCACTACCACCGTCATCGCCAGCGCCACCGCCACTACCACCACCCCCGCCGCCCCCCCCCCCCCCTCCCCACCCACCCACCCACACCCACCCACACACACACATCACCCCACCCCGCCAAGTTGACTTGACTGCTCGCCAGCACATGGGGGCACGGTGGTGCGTTGGCCAAGGCAAGGGCGCGCGCTCGAGCTTACGCGGGAGGCATTCGAGCATCGCGGAGGATGTTGTCGCGCGTAACGCCCGTTGCCCTTCATGCGAGTACTTTGCTGTCGCCGTGGCCGCGCGCGTACTCGGCACCCCGTCTGACTCGGGCCAGGCGGACATGAGGACTGCTTATTGGGCCTGTTCTGGGCGCAGCATCCGCACAAGACAACCTCTGCTAGACGACATGCGGCAATGCTGCTGATCACACGGGGGCAAAACGGCCGCTTCGAGGCGCGACCAAGCTTTTAAGTCGGTTCGGGTGCGGGGGGGGGGGGGCATGGGGGCAGGTGGCTGATTGGCTCAGCCAATGGCGCGTGCTTGGGTCTGCGCGGCAACCTCCCCGCCATCGCAGGTAATGCCGTTGCGCGTGCCACATGCAGCCCCTCGCAGGATGATGGCAATCAGGGGGTGGTGGAAGTTCGGCCCTTGGGGGGCGGGCTGGGGGAGGGGGGGTGGGGGGTGCCTACTCGTCGCATCTTCTGGGGGTGCGTTGCTTCGGGGGCGCGCACCGCCTGCATGTTAGAACGGTCCGTGGCTTCTGGGTAGGGGGGGGGGGGGCACACTCGTATTTGAATCGGGCGCATGGCCTCCGCAGCGTGGGTCCTTCGCTGCCCGCGAAGGCCTGCCGCCTCGGGGGCGCAACCCACGCATGATGTACAATGGCTCGCGGCATCGGGGGCGCACGTCCTGTGCATTCTAGGGGGAAGGTGCGCGTGCGTGCTTGCGTGCGTGCGCGCGCGTGTGTGTGCGTGCGTGGTGTGATATAGGGAGAGAGAGAGAGAGAGAGAGAGAGAGAACGAGAGAGAGAGAGAGAAAGAGAGAACGAGAGCGAGAGCGAGAGAGAGCGCGAGAGATAATGTGTGTGCGTGCGCGCGTGCGCGTGCGTGCGCGTGCGCGTGTCTGTGTGCGTGTGTGTGCGCGCGTGTGCTACACTGTGTGTGCGGTGTGTGTGTGTGTGTGTGTGTGTGTGCGCGCGCGCGTGCGTGCGTGTGTGTGTGTGTGTGGTGCTGGGTGGGTGGGGGGTGGTGGGTGGGTGGGTGGGTGGGTGGGGTGGGGGGTGGGTGGGTGGGGTGGTGTGTGCGCGGTGGTGGTGGGATGGGGGTGGGGGTGGGGTGGTGGTGTGTGTGTGTGTGGTGGTGGTGGTGGTGGTGGTGGTGGTGGTGGTGCTGGTGGGTGGGTGCGGGGGGGGGGGGGGTACGCGAGAATTGCAGAAGAGGTCATCGGCTCGCGAGCGCGCGTCCTTTGCACTGGTCGTTGGAATCGTGGCCTCGGGAGCGCGAGCCACGTGCACGTTGCAATGGTGCGTGGCCTCGGGGGCGCACGCCCTTCGTGGTTTGCATCGGGGCGTGGTCTCGGGTGCGCGGGCGACCATGTGTACGCGTCAGGGGCGAAGCCCCCTGCGGCCCTTTGCGATGAGCAAGGGCGGGGCGGGCTCAGAAGACGAACAACAACCCTGTCACGTCGCCTTTGGGTTTGCAGCGAGCCTGAAAACACCATGGGCCATATGCGCGGGCATTGCAACATCAACAACAACAAAGGGACGCAAGGCAGCCGCATGCCGCCTCTGCCCAGATCGAGCTATACCCAACGCTAGATCGGCCCTCGCGCCGCCCACAACAACGACTCATCACGTGGGTCGCACCTCATCTTTTCCCGCACATGGCAGTGTCGCAAAGAAGTCAATGTGTTTGTCTTCGGGAGCTCAGCGGTCCCAACCCCTTGCGCGATTGGACCGCCTATCACCGCGCTGACAAGCCCCCCCCCCACATGCAGCCAACGCCAAACTGGATATGTGGTCACTGTGTGAACGCAGGGGGCGGCATCAAAACAACTTTCCGAAATGCCCCGCGCACTTTCCCATGTATGCCCAGCGTCGCGTAAATGCCCTGCACTTGCTCACGCCAAGGAGCACCCTCATACCCCCCCGACAGACAGGCGCACACACACACACACACACGCACACACACACACACACGCACACACAAGCGCGCACAAACACACACACACACGCAGACACGCACACACACACGTGTTAGAAGCCGCACGCGTCTGGAATTGTGCACATCGCGTTGTTTTGATGTCTACCTCTACCTCGTGGGGTATACCACTAAGTCGTTGTTTCAGAATGGTGATGTGGCCTAAGGCTTTGTGGCACCATGAGGGCTGTTGATGATGCCGTTTGTTGCCAATGCCAAGAGCACAAATCATGATGCTGCTGATGGTTCTTGTGTCCGTTCGGATAACTCAGCGTGCATGTGGATGGCAAGGTGTACCCGTGGTCTATTTAACACATGCCCCTCCCCCCTCTAAAACAGCATGTTTATCAGCATTCGTCTTCCAAACCCCCTTGCAGGACACGTTTCGATTGCATTGTCGTTGCGCATGGTGTGTGGCCCCGCGTTTCCATCGTCAAGTCCAGAACGCCTTGTAACATGTCCGAACACATTAGTGATTAGTGGTACTATGTACTATCGTGTTCCAATCGTTCGCGCGTTTATCGAGCATTATGATGCGATGTACTGCAGTGCGTTAAGTGTGTTTCTATGGTTTGTAACAGTGACGGTTATATGTATACCCAACGGTATCGTACACAAATGGCCCCTGCGGTTGTGTAGTATTGTGCCAACGTGGTTGCATCTATCATGGAGGGAGGGAAGGGGAGGGACACGTGTGGGGGGGAGGTAAGGAGAGTTTTTTTTTCTGAAACCTGAGCGCATTGCCTCCTACACATTTTTGATGTTCCTCCCGGAGGATGCCTCGCCACCAGAGCAGGCAGCCGCCAGCGCCGGGGGCACTCCCGCGGCGAAGCGCAGCGAGAACCAGCAGCAGGAGAGGTTCAAGCGTGGGAGGAGCTCCCTGTCACTGTCTGTGTGCGGAGCCTCCAAGGAGGGCGGGTGCGGCGCCCCTGGTGCTAGGAGTGCCATTGCGAAGTCCGACATGGGCACCTTCGTCTCGCCTGATGGCAAAGCTAACTCTCGCCAGCGGATCAGTGAGGACGGATTCATGAAGTTGCTGTCTTTCGAGAGCGTGTTGGCCCAGACCCACTCGGGTGTCCACGAGCGCTTCGCCAAGAAGCTGCTCGATGAGATGGCCGAGGCGACCCCCCCCAAGGCCTCGTACTTCGTCTTCAAGCGCCACATGGACCTCGTGGCGAAGTGCGTCGAGTTCAACAAGTTGAATTTGCAGAAGGCCCCGCGCGACGAGCTCGACCAGCGCATCCGCGCGTTGGACGAAATCAAGGAGCACTGGCCGTCACAGCGCAAGGACCTTGAGCCGTTCATAAAACAATGGGGCAACGGAGATCCTGCATCTCATTTCTTCTCCTGCTCCCTCTCCACCTTGAGCAGGAGGAGGTGGGAAGAGGAGGGAGGAGGATGGAGAGAGAGGAGGAGGGGGAGGAAAAGGAAAGGGAGGAGAAGGAAGAGGGAAGAGGAGGGATGAGGCGGACGGGGAGGAGGAGGAGGAAATCCTCTTCCAGAGGATGACTTGCTGGAGAGGCGCTTGGCCGACATGGGTGAGATTACCGCGCAGATGTCAGACGAGGCCATCGAGGACATGTTATCCACCATCGTCCCGTGGAAGGTCGGCAGCGAGGAGGAGGGAGACGAATTCGACCGCACGTTCGACCCGATGAAGCCCTGTCTCTACATGACAGAGGGTAGCAACATGGAGAAGTCGATCAAGATGAGGGACCATCTGCTGAACTATTGCCTCGTCCCTTTGATCACTTCAGGGCCCGCCGCCATCGATGCGATCCTCAGGTTTTGTGCGCGAGCCCAGCGCACCTTCGCGAGGAAGCCAGACTCTTTGGATGAGAACTTCCTGGCGGTCATCCTCCAGTTCATGCGCGTGGTGAGGGCGCTGACGACCATCTGCAAGCCCGTGGACACCTCTCACTTGGCCGACGCTCTCGCCCTAGTGACCCCCAGCGCAGTGATGAAGAGCGCTGATGAGGGCAGCGCCACTATCATGGAGACCGTCGGTTCGGTATTGGTCGGCACGACTGGGTGGAACGAGATTGTATCAGATATCAAAAGTAAGGCCGACAGCACCAAGAAGACCTTGCCCACGTACACGGCGTACGTCAAGGACCTGAAGAGTTACACCACTGACAAGGACGTGCCAGACGCGACCACCCTATCTACCATGCTCGACGGCTGCACCGACTTGATCAGCTCGCTCCGTGAAGGCATGGCGACCTACCTCAAAGGTTTGATCGCTGGCGCGCTGAACAAGTTCATGGATAAAGCTATCCAGGAGGGGCAGCACTCCGAGGGTAGCGGCAGCGCTGCCGTTCAGGAGGCGCCTGTGGATTGGTCCGTCGTGGAGGCGCTCAACACGAAGGCGAACGGCATCCTGGAGTACGCAATCTTCCCAGCCGCCAAGTATAAGCCTCAGATCGAGGCACTGGGCCTCGCGAGCAAGGCAGCTGGAGCCAAGCACGCGTTCGACCGAGCAGTGCAGGCCATCGACCCCACGTGGATTGAGACTGCCATTGCCTCCAGCTGCGACGCCTTCGTCCAGATCGTCGAGTCGGTCACCCCCTACGTCAAATATATGGACATCAACGTGAACGAGAAGCTGCGCGAGGTGCTCACCGTTGTGGACAAGCCTGATCACTGGACGACAGACGGTGCCAAGCAGTTGATCGGTGCCTGCTTGACGATATGCGGCTTCGACCTCAAATTCAAGGTGGAGAAGAGCATCACTAGCGGGTTCCAGGTGTTCGGAAAAACTCTCGACTTGCTTTCGAAGCTGGCTGAGTACGAGGGCTTGGGTGGCGACACGGCTGCTCGCGTGAAGTCGGCCGCGGCGATGCGGACTCTGCAGGCCATGGCTTCCAGCATGCAGTGCGTGAAGGGAGAGCTCGACAACATGGCCAATCCGAATACAAGCCAAGCGTTCGTGGTCCACATGACGTGCGAGGAGGAGCTGCAGGCGGCAGGTGCTCTGATCCTAGAGGTAAAAGCCACGGAGATGACGGCCAAGATCGCGAAGATCGACGATGTGCTCAATGACATTGACAACGATAAGGGCCGCTGGACCGACAAGCTCAAGGGCGATATGAAGAAGGACTACGCCTTGGCCAGGAAGACGCTATTCAAGGTGGATGGCAAGCTGATTGAGGACCTGCTGATGGAGGTCACCGCGATGGCTCAGGCTTTGAGTGCTGCGCACGACCTCTTCGGCAGGCCCGAGCCCGAGAAGCTCACGAAGATGGTGGAGAGCGGTTCCAAGAAGGCAGCCCGCTGCCTCGTGGAGGCGAAGCTCTTCCTGGGCTACGAGACGTTCAAGAACGATGAGGTGCAGATCCACAAGTTCGGCAAGAAGATCGAGAAGGAGCTCAAGGAGTACTCCATTCGCGGCGTGGTGGTGGGCATGACGCTCGCCGAGCCGCTCCAGGAGTGGATCAAGAGCGTCGTGGACATGGCCTAAGGGGGCCGTGCGAGAAGGAGGGAGGAGGAGGAGGGAGGAGGAAGGAGGACGTAGAGGATGGAGGAGGTAAAAGGAGGGAGGAGGAAAACGGAGGGAGGTAGGAGGAAGGATGGGGGAGGAAAGGGGCAGGCCGAGGCCACCGACAGAGGTGGCACGACGTGCGCCGAGAGCGCGCGGCCTGCACTGTGGGAATGTCCTCCTCCCTCCTTATCCTCCTCCTCCCCCTCCTCTTCCTCTTTGTCCTCCGGCGGGCCCTCCTCCCAGCCAGCCCCATTATTGTCCTACATCCTTGTCGTCCTCATCCTCCTACCTCCTGCTCCTGCTCCTCCTGCTGCTCCCCCTAGTCCTCCTCCTCCCTGTGCTGTTTGAACGTCGAAGCTGTCGCCATCGCTAGCGCCGAATTCCCATCCATCTTCCTTCTCCGTCCTCCTACCTCTTTCTAATTTCTCTTCCTTTTCCTCCTCCCTCCCTCGACCTCCCCTTTCCTCCTCATCCTCCCCATCCTCCCTCATCGTACACCCTCCCCTTCTGCATCCTTCCGTTTACATGCATCCTCCTACGTTCGTTTCCCGACCAATGGGAACGAATGCGAATCCCTAAACAGCGAATCTGCGTAGGGTCATTTCGAGTAGTAGAGCGTGCGCGTGTGCATGTAGTGTGTGTGTGTGTGCGTGCCTCTGTGTGTAACGTATTCGTCACCATTGCTGTTTAGGGTCTCTGTGAACGACCGTCCTTCCGCCTGTATGTCCAACAGTGCCAGTGGAGGGGACGATACGTATGCCTTGGGGGGTCATACTTGCGTTCCAGGGGCCTGGTCTGACAGTAGGAACAAGCTCTTCGATTGCATGCCACTGAATATAAGATCACCGATTGCACTTCAGTGCCTTGTGGCGCTATTCGGTGTCCTATGGTTAGCGCCCTGTGGTGCTCGATGGCCCTGTGGTGCTACTGTGCAGTGTGGTGCTCTAGGGTCTCTGCGGTGCCGTATTGCGTTATATGCGGGACGGCGGCGGGGCGACAGCCCTAACACATTAAATGAGCATGTTGCGGCAGAGAGCATGAGGGCGTGGAGCGTGGAGCATGGGGGACGCAGCGGAGGGGCGGCAGCCCTAATAAAGACGATACGGGTAATACACGTTCTCGCCAAATGGTGGCCCCGTTGGGTCGCCCGTGCTAGCTCGTACGTCCAAGGCGAAGCGGTCGAAAAGCTGTCGCCCACGCCCACCGCCCCGCTTGGGTTTTGGAAAATCGCATTGCATCACCTTGCGTCCAAGCCATTTGCTCTCATGCACAACATGATGTGCATTATGTACAACCTTCAATTGCATTTTTCGGTATAACCCAGGGGCAATGAAAAAAACAACTTTTTTAGAAACCAACAAAACAACTATTTCTCAACATTTCGGGTACTTTTCTGGTTTATCATATATCTAAGCCCTGTGCAGCGCGGCCGCCATCATAAATCCAGAAGCCGAATTAGCACCCGCAACTGCGTCGGCCAACCGGGTCACGCGCCGAAAGGGTCAGCCAGCCGGCTCTCGCGCCCGCGCCCCTGCGGCCCATCGGCCACCGAAGACGGCCGTAGGGAGCATCCGAGCGTACCTCCACATTCTTACACCTTTACACCAATCAACAAAAAAAACAATTCCTCATTTTCCTGCCTCGGTCCTCCTCCTCCTCGTCCTCCTCCTCGTCCTCCTCCTCCTCCTCCTCCTCCTCCTCCTCCTCCTCCTACTCCTCCCCCTCCCGCTCCGCCTCCTCCCTCCTCCTCCTCCTCCGCCTCCTCCTCCCTCCCCTCCTCCTCCTCCTCCTCCTCCTCCTCCTCCTCCTCCTCCTCCTCCTCCTCCTCCTCCTCCTCCTCCTCCTCCTCCTCCTCTCTTACAAACACCCCTCTCCCTCCTGCGGCCACCCAGGGAAGGACGCACAGCATCCGCCAGGGGGCTGCGGCCCCAGCGGCGCTCCCAGCTGCTGCATGTGATGCGCGCCCGGCATCGGCGTGCTGGACCTGCCCCCCGCGGGAGGGAGCAGGGATGAGGGCACTAATATCTATATTCGCACACACATATATATATATATATATATATAAAAATAGGTATATATACACATACATACATGCATGCACGCACACACACACACATGTCTAGATACATATCCACATATATATATATATACATATACATATCTCAAACAACGCTGACTACACATAGATTAGACGACCCATATAAAAAATCAGAGGAATCAAGCATGCTTGGACTTCGCAACTCAGCAGGCAAGCAGACGTGCAAGCAAGCGCGCGAGCGCTCAAGCAAGCAAGCAAGCAAGCAAGCGTGCAAGCGCGCAAGCAAGCAAGCAAGCAAGCGAGCAGATATAGGCGTAGGCGTAAGCATAGGAGGTAGGGGGAGGCATAGGCATAGCCATAGGAATTAGAGGGGGGCATAGAAATTCGGGGGGACAACGGACCAATTAGAAGGTTTGAGCTAGGACTCCTATAGGGCAAGCCTATTCGGAGAACCTCGATACATATATACAGATATAGATATCCAGATACACACGTTCGTACAGGCATACATGCACGAATGCAACAATGCATGCATACAGGTATTCATACATGCAGGCACACGTACATACACATACATATATATATATACACATACTTACATCCCTACATCCATCCATACATACAAACATACTTACGTTATGCATGTACACCCACGTATCTATACATACATACATACATACACGCATACATGCTTACATACATGCATGCATACGTACACACAGTCATACACACATGTACATACGTACACATACATACATGAAGCCATACGTACATACATACACTCATGCGCATACACACATATATATACAGTATACATATGTACACAGACACATCCACATATCCATACACATACACATACACATACCTTTCCAGTCACGTGCGCGTGCGCATGCGTGTATACATGCGCACATGCATGCATGTGCATCTGCAGGAAACGCTGTGCGTGCGTGCATCTGTGCGTTGAGAGGCGCGTTATTTGCGCACACGGATGCGTACACCCATACACATTTCCCAACGACACTGCCTGCACTCCAGGTCTCTTGCTCCTCTCCCAAAGGGACCCGGCCCGGGTCCGGCCCGCGCCGGCACTGTTGCCGTCCGTCGCCGCACCCCGTTCCCGAAAAAAAAGCCCCTTGTGCGGGCCTGGCGGCCCCGTTCCCGTCCGTCGCCGCCGCCCCGTCGCACCCCCTCTCTCTCTGCATTGCAATCGCTTCGCACCGGGATCCAAGTGCGCTGCACTGCGATCGCTCTGCAGTGCATCGCGCTGCACTGCAACCGCCTTGCGTAGCACTGCATGGCCTTCGCATCGCATTGACTTGGTGTGTGTGTGTGTTGCGTGACAGTGCTTTGCATTGCGATGCATTGCTTTGCATTGCATTGCATCGCTTTGCATGGCTTTGCACAGATTTGCATTGCTGCGCATCGCTTTGCCTTGATTTGCAATGGTTTGCATTGCATGGGTACTCCTTTCTACAGAAGATCTAGACCCTACCTCCTCCAGGATCATCGGCCCCCCTGGAACACTACACATCACATGTGAATCTGCCGCTCCGTTCACTTTCCCTATGCAGTCAATCCGTCCTGGGCAGTCCCTTCGCCGACCCTGCTTCTTCTCATTCAGATAGCACTACATCACCGTAACTCGGCCTCCGCCAATAGCGCATCAGGGAAGAGTAGTTCGGCATAGAGATGCTCAAACTACTCCGCGCGTGGGCGCATCCCGCTCGATAGTTGATACGTCGGGTCTGCCGCGGCGTAGGCTGCGATCCGGTCTTGGGGCAACAGAGCTGCGAGCACTTGGCGGATCGGAAACTACTCCGCCGAATAGCGCAATCATCATGCCATGTTAAGAATATTTGGAGGGATAGGGAATATCATCAACATGGCAAAGTGTATAACATGTTCTTACGGCTGTTTCTGTGCGTACGCTCGTTTATCGCAGCATACTGCTTTGCGTTTCAAGAGCCCCTTGCAGACCATAGCACGACGTCAGCACGCGCGCACATGCCGAAATCTGACCTAGCACACGAAGTGTTGCAAGGATGCCAGCATTGAAGCCGAATTGCCCCTTTATGCTTCCCGCCACACATTTTCCAAGAGTTCAGCCCGTGCGCGCTTGTGGGAATCATGAAGTCATATGAATTGTTCCATATCGCCTTATGTTGCTCCCATCGTACTAGATGTCCATATCCCAGAAATTCGCCGGCCCAACGGGCCACAGGCGTGCTAAGATCCCCGGTAACAGGTTACACGTATTTCTAGGTCGCGCGCGGGTGGCGGCCCCTGGGGGCCCCCGGACGAACACTATCCCGAGCGATGCCTGGCCGATGCCCGGCCGACTCCCCCAGGGCGCTCCAGGAGCGCGCCAAGAGGTCGCCAGGACGCCCCCTACACGGCCCAAAGGGCCCGAGTCGCCGAAAGATCGTTCCAAGACGCTGAAGATGGTCTCCAGATGGCCCCAGTGGCCGCGAGAAAACCCCAAGAGAGCCTCAAGAGGCTCTCCAACGGGGGCCCAACAAGCAAAAATCGTTTCATTTCTTGAGGGAAACGTGCATGTTTCGCATGTGCGACGTTTGGGGGTTCACAGCGTCGAGGACTGCCCCAGAGGCCTCCAACATCGTCCCCAGACGGCCCCACGCGCCCCCAAGATGGGCCCAAGAGAGCCCAAGAGGGCCTAAGACGGCCCAAGAGGACCCAAAAGCAGCCCCAAGAGGGGCCCAAGAGAGGAACCAGGAACCGAACAGTCCAGCCTTCAGCCCCAAGAGGACCCCAGGAGGCCCCAACAGTCCAGCGCCGATCCGAGAAATCCGCACGGACTTCAGAGTTTTCATGTTCATGTCACTGTTCGTTCCCCTACTCTTACGCGTAGTCGATCGTCTAGCCTCGAAGCCCACCTGGCCAAAGGTCCGTCCTCGAGCCTCCGTGTGCCCCCGCCCCGCGG